GTGATAGAGGGGTTCTCTCTCTATTGACAGCAGTCCTTTGGGTGGACAGGAAGAGTACAGTACTACCTTGGCTCATGAACTTAATCCATTCTATGACTCTGGTTGTGACCCAAATTGGTTGTGACCCAAGTCAAATTTCCCCATAAGATTCAATGTAAATAAGGTTAATCCGTTCTGGCCCCTTCGAATGTGGTTGTGAGCCAGTTTTTGGTCGTGAACCAAGTCAGTTTTCCCCATAAGGTGCAATGTAAATGAGGTTAATCCGTTCTGTAACTATTTTTTAAAATCAGATTTTGAAACAAAGTGACAAAGGACAACAAAGTAACAAAGTACTGTACAGTGGAGAACACTAACCTAGGTGTGGGGAGATTATTGTTTTGAGTCCCCCTCCATAAGGACATTGGGGAGATTTCTTTCAGGGGTTTCCTCTCTCCTTTGTCTCTTAGCTGCAGGGTCAATTTTGGTGAACAATCTGTCTATATTCACCTGTTTTTTCCTGCGCTGCATAACCCTCCGGAAATGAGAGACCATGTTATTGTTCATCAGATTCAACACTCTGTTCATTACATTTATGTTGGGGTGGTGCTTCTCAAAGAAACTCTGGCATGGGCGTGCTTCTGCAGGAAAGACGGGCGCAATCTCTGCCATCTCCCTCCCCCCTCCAACCAGCACAATCACAGCCATCTCCCCACCCCTGAGTGGGGAGATGGCCAGAATTGCTGTTGCATTCATGCAGGGAAGACGTGTGTGATCATGGGTGTGCTCCTGCAGGAAAGATGGGCGCAGCACAGCCGTGATCACGCATGTGTTCCCTGCATGAATGCGACTGCAATCGTGGCCATCTCCCCACTCGGTGGGGTGGGGAGATGGCTCCGATCTCGGTCGCCACCTGAAGCGGGGTTCGTGACCCAAGTCAAAATTTTCATGACATTTTTGTGACCCAAGGCATTCGTGAATCAAGGTACCACTGCACCAGAAATCCACATTCCAGGGTGGAGTACAGGCTTGTGTTCAGAGGTTAACTGCTTCCATTTTCTAAGTTCCTGATCCTTATATCATTTGCCTCAGTGCCTGATTGGTAATCATTCCAAACAGGGTTGTTATGCCTAATTTTTTAAAGGGGAAATGTCTTATCCCTGACTTTTTCTTCGCAAGAATTTCTGCAGTCATTATTCATTGTTCATTCTTATCTCATTCACACTGGGTAGCCCAGGAAAGTAGATTCCTCTACTTGACTAAGCTTAGTCAAGAGGACCCATGGCCTAGAGCCTCTCTTCACTGCTTCATGGCCTGGAAGCTTGTCTTTGTGGTGCTAATATTGATATTACATTGTAATGGCCTCCAACATATTGATCAGGCCTATGCCAGTATCAGTTACAACTAGCAAAAGAGTAGCTGATACTAAGAGGAGAGTTATTTGTGAGTACATTCCATGCCTTGGAAAATTGTAGTGTAGTGCACTCATTCTCATATAACATTCTACATGAGTCAGCTAAGTTGAGTTTATCACAGGGTTCCTTAGAGCCTTCAATGATCAGGGCACACTAGTGCTTCTGTGCTGGGGGTATGTAAGGATGACAGATCAAGCATGTCTGTCATAAAAATAGATTGTCTCTAATTCGAGATATAAAAGAGTTGCATGCGGTGGTGATCTGCAACAATGCCTTTCAAAGACAGACAGACAGACAGACAGACAGACAGACAGACAGACAGACTTTCCTGGGTAAGAGAAACCATTTTAATGAGCAGCTATTGATGAGACTTATGGCAACCCTTTTGCAACTCCAGGGCTGTGATAGGGCTCTTGCAGCATTTTATTATCTAATCCCCATTTCATAATAACATTTGTTATTCTCCATTGTTTAATAACAGACTCCAGCCTATTCACATTCAAATATGTGAGTTTTAAGTGATTGAACTGAGCAAGAAAGTAGGCATCTAGTTCTGTATTTTACTCTGTAGTTTTGACAGAGGAACCAGAGCACTTAGTTTTCCATATTTTACTGTCAATGCAAAAGTTAAATTCACATAAACTGCAACAATCAGGAACTTTAATGGCAAACTATTTCCCAGTATCAGGAGAGAAGTGAATGAGCATCACTCCTCATACTGTAACTAAGCATTGCCAATAATCCTGAGAATAAGTTTACTTCTTGTTGCTATCCAGACCTCCCATGATACATTGAAATTTACGTGAAACCATGTTTTTCAGTGGTATAGAGTGGCAGCTTCAGTAGGGCTCTATAGATCATAAGACAAGATGGCTACCATAATGCAACAGAAATCTAGATGATGATGTTTGCAGAATATCTTATCTCTAGAAAGTTACTGGTAGGCATTTCTGCACTTCTTCAGGGTTGTTGCAGGATTCTTATTTATTCTTTTGCAAGCCAACTTGTCTTGGTGGCAATCATAGAAGTGGAGATCATCAGTAGACTTGAGTGTTTTAATGCCTAGTGCTTTGCACTTAACATATGCCTGTTGGTGGACCTCATGGTGTTGCTGTCATGAGAGAGTAGCAATCTGAAAGGGAGCCCCCCCCCCCATTAATGCAATCCAGCTACCTTCAGGAACACACCAGTTTCCATTTGCAAAATGTCTCTGGTGCTGATTTTTTTGCACATTGATGCCTTAACATTCCAATGATCTGAATTTGTTCGGGGTCTTCATAGTTTTAAGTTGCAAATTATAATGTCCCTAGACTGGCTAGTCTAGTTGGACTAGCCTCCCTAGTTGGAATGGGCTCCCAGGACTTGATGTCCTCATTCAATGACCACATTTGTTACAATTGCAATTTCTTTCTGCCTACATCTATGCACAAAAAGCTTTCCTCTATTCCATGGACACACCAATTTAACTGACTACCACGGTTTTTCAGATATTCTACCTTGGACTGTAGGTCTTGAGTAAGATCTTGAAATTTTTGCCAGTTTGAATCAGGCTTAGCTCCATGGCTCTTTCAGTTTTGCAGATAGCTATGTCTGTTTCCTGTCTAGAATCTCCACTGCATGTGGCTACTCTTCTTGAAGTTCTAATTGTAGTTCTTAGATGTGTTCTTTCAAATTGTCCTTGCCTTTGGTGCCTTTAATTCATTTACAAGAACATTTGTGATAGTGAAATGAGTCGTTTCTTGTGTTCTTAGCTTGGGGATCTGAGCAATTTTTAGGATGAAAATATCCTGTGAGGAGCAAATCAGAAGATGAGTCAGTAGATCCCATTTCATTCCCTGATGATAGTCAAACATCTTTAATGAGGAGTGCTGAGAATTAAGCAGCATCTTAGAAGATTAATAACCTTAGGTGGGCTGGGTATCTAAATATTGTGGCATCCAAGAAGACTATTCCACAATGTTGTTTTGTATTGTCACATTTTTGAAAAAATAATAAAAATATTTTTAGAAGAATACAACCCTTGTGGGGGTGGGTCCAGGTCTCACACATTACAGTCTGCTCAGATAGATTTGTCTGATTCTGGGGAAGGACAAAGGTGAGCAGATAACTTGGCAGTTTCAGGGTTTCCCAGTGAAGATTCTCAGGCAATGTGTGAGAACCAGTCTGCCTTGAAAAAGGAGGGAGACCTTTCATAACTTATAGGGGAGCAGATTGAGGGGGGAGAGCCTTGACCTAATCAAGAGATGACAGGCAAAGCAAATGGACCAATTAAGAAGTGTCTGGCATTTCCACCATCTTAGCCTTCAAGCAGAAGGAGCCACCCTGAAAATGGAGACAGAATCTTTTTAGAAAGGGAGGGAAGGGGGGGGGGGGGGGGATCCATTTAGATTCAACTCTTAACATGGGCAGAACAATCTCCAACATCTCAGAACGCTACTTTAATTTATACTGTTCTGTAACCTGTTAAGTTTTAATAAAAGGGCTGGGCTTCTAAAGTTTTGTTTGAGTCTGTTGGAAAGGAAAACAGGAAGGGTGTGACCTGCTCACAGCAGTTACTTGGAATGTTCACCTTAAAAACAAAGTTAGCATAGTCACAGTCCAGTCCAGGACTGTGCTGAAATGGACAGATTGACTTTGTCTCTGAAGAAGAAAGAAGATACAGACTTCTATCAAACTGGGAATTTCTTTTATTACTGGCTAGAGAAATGGGACTATGCATAGATTTAAATATGTTTATGGATTACCATAAAAAGAAAAAGTTTGAGGGGCTGACCCAGTAAGTCTGATGTTTTTTGATGACTGAGGATGTTTTAGTTTCTTTCTGTTAGTTTTGTTAGTAGAAAATAACAATAAAACTTATTTAAAAACAAAAACAAAACAAAGTGAGCATTATGATCCCTCAGTCTTTCTCTGATTTGGAATTTAACCTGAATGAAATAATTCCTCCAAGTTGCCAACCCAACCGATATTCTTCTTGCCGGAATGGTGGTGTGAAAGAGAAATCTGGGCATCTTGCCATCTCATTCTCTTGCTCACACATTCCCCTTTGTCCACCTATGCCTCATCCTCTCTGACCTCCCTCCCACCCTACGCTCCAGCCCCAGTGCTTCGCATGGAAGTAAATTTCATTTTCTTAAAGTGCATTACATCAAGTTCCTGGGAAAATTATTCTGGGTGTCAGGAATAAGGGAAAAGAGCAGGAGGCAGCCAAAAAGAAGAGGAGACACTTCCTCCCTCTTTGCTGCTGCCACAGCAGTCATCTCAGATGAGGGAGAGCAACAGTCTGAAATGTAAATGCTTATGCAGAGTCGGGCAGCAATTATGAATAAATGTAGGACTCCTATGAAAAAAAGGAGACATGTGCATATTCTCCACTAGGGCAAAGAATTTCTCAAACCCAAATTAAGCTTGGGGAGTTTGCCTATCTCCAGTCCACAAAACCATTTTCCTCTATTTTGTGAGCCGCCCCGAGGCGTTGGCGAATGGGGTGGCATAGAAGTCGCCTAAAGAATTAAATATTTTAATTCAGAAAACAGAATATTTGCCTCAGGTATTAGAATTCTGGGGAATACTGCTGTAATCCTTTCCTATTTCTCTTCTGCTATCCAGGTCAGTCGGCTGTTGATCTTGGGAGGTGCCAACATCAATTACAGGACTGAAGTGCTGAACAATGCCCCAATTTTGTGTGTCCAGTCTCATCTTGGTTACACTGAGATGGTAGCTTTGCTATTGGAGTTTGGAGCAAATGTTGATGCCTCTTCCGAAAATGGCCTTACATCTCTTGGATATGCTGCTGCTGCTGGCTATTTAAGCATTGTTGCACTCTTGTGCAAGAAACGAGCCAAGGTGACCAGGGGGGTTGATCTGATAGTGGCCTGATTTTCAGTGCTACCTGTGGTGCCTTTAGTGGAGTGGTACAGTGGAGCTTTTAGTCACTGCTTTAGGTCAGGGATTTTAGTTTCCTGCTGACGCTCCTCCCTGAAGCCTTCATTTTCTCCAAAAATGGGGAGAGAAGGCTGCTGTGTTTGCAGCCACTACAGTGTGGGACAGGAAGCACCTTGAGGTGTCAGTCTCACTCTACTGTTGCCCTTCCCATTAGCCAAGATGAGGGTCACATGAAACTCCCACAGAGGAGCTGCACCTCCAGGTGCCTTGAAATGGCAGAGCTACCGACATGAGCAGTGCAGTAGAAGGAATTTTCAGTGACTGGAGATTTGAATCTCTGCTTCCATGAACTTCCCATCATGCCGTCTCGTGTGTATACTTTGTGCCTGTGCTGGAGAAGGAGAATGGCTTGACTGCACTCACTTTTGGCAGAAGGGATGGTGTAAGAAAAGCCCATTAACAGCTTGACTTAAATTAGAAGGGGTCTGAGCTTGAGGGCTTAAAAAAAAAAAGATGAAGTCTTTATTCTGAACTCACCTAGTTTGAACTTTGCCTTGCCACAACAGGAAGATAAAATTAATATGAGTGTTTGTTTATTCTATTCATATGCTGCCTTTTTTCTTTTAAAGAACTCAAAGTGGCACACATCATTCTCCTCCTCCTGTTCTCAATCTTATCCCCAAAACAACAACCCTGTGAGGTGGCTTGGCTGAGAGTCTGTGACTGGCTCAAAGTCACCCAATGAGCTCCATGGTGGAGCAGGGACCAGAACCCAGATCGCCTGAGTCCCAGTCCCACTGTACCACACTGGCTCACTGGTGTGAGTGATTTATGCCACATGTAAATAATTTACTGAGGCCTCTGACCTTATTTACTTATAACCAGTTGACGCCAATTTCTTAAGGAGCAAATTCTGGCAAAATTTGGCCAAAGAAATATGAGGAATTTATTCCATATAAATGTAGTAGCACTATGAGACAGAAACTGGAATGAGAACCATCAGCATGCCTAGCCACAACCATTGAGTTTAATTTTATTTGAACATTTTTCCTTTCATTGTAAAGGTTGATCACTTGGACAAGAATGGTCAGTGTGCATTGGTTCACGCAGCTCTCAGAGGCCACCTGGAGGTTGTCAAGTTCTTGATTCAGTGTGATTGGACAATGGCTGGACAACAGCAGGGTGTGTTCAAAAAGAGCCAGGCCATCCAGCAAGCACTCATTGCTGCTGCCAGCATGGGATTCACTGAGGTAAGTTGCTCAGCCTTGCAGAAATTTAACTGGCTAAACAGCCTTTTAAGCTAACTATTTTAAATCAAAATTCTGGGTAACAGTTTTTACAGGTTGGAATAGTTGAGGTGTATGCAATCACTAGACTCTCTTACTGTACACATTGGACCCAAATACAATTAGAAGAGCTGTTATCAAATTCCAGCTGAATGCACAAGCAAAGGTAACAACAGCCTCCCTGGTTTGCAGAATCAGTTTCCCCATCATGCATAGAATCATAGAATAGTGGAGTTGGAGGAGAGCTGTAAGGCGATTGAGTCTAAATCCCTGCTCAGTGCAGGACCTCAAGTCAAAGTGTGATTGATAGATGGCTGTCCAACAGCCTCTTGAATGCCTCTGGTGTGAGACAGCACACAACCTTCCTATGTTCCACTGCTGTACTATTCCAAGAGGAATTTTTTCCTGATATCTAGCTGGAATCTGGCTTCCTGTAACTTAAGCCCATCATTCTGTGTCCTGCACTCTGGGATGATTGAGAAGAGATCCTGGCAACCTTTAAAATATTTGAAAACTGTTTTCATATCTCCCCTCAGTCTTCTCTTCCTAAGGCTTAATATGCCCAACTCTTTCAATATCTCCTTGTAGGACTTTGTTACCCATTCCCTGGTAATCTTTGTTGCCTTCCTCTGAACCTTTTCCAGTTAGTCTGCATATTTCCCAAACTGTGGAGCCCAGAACTGGACATAGTGTTCAAGATGGGACCTAAGTAGTGTCAAATAGAAGGGAATCAGTACCTCACATGATTTGGAAGCTGCACTTCAATAATGCAGTCCCAATGAGGATTTCTGGAGATTTGATCTCATTCAGTGAAACTGGATGTTCACTGACCATTTGTTTATTAATCTCACCCCAGTTCTGACCTTTCTGTTTGTACTTCATTTCTGCAGGGGGGTTAAAAACCTGTTTTTGAGAAAAGACTGAGCCAAAGTAGAAATTGGGTATTTTGGCTTTTTCTTCATCATCCGCTACAAATTTGCCCTCCTCATTGAGAAGATGAACCATCCTTTTTCCCTGTTGTTTATTATGAACATACCTGAAAATTGTATGTTCATTGTTTTTCACTATCCTTTTCATTGTTATCACTATCCTCAGTGCATTCTCAGATTTAGCCTTCCTGATGTTATTTCTGCATTCATGTGCCACCTGCCTATTATTTCCTTCTTTTCTGCCTGCACTCTTCTGGTTTTTCTTCCAGTTCCTTTATGTGTGCTTTTTTGTTGTTTTTTAGGTCAACTCCAAGTTTTTTGTGAAACCACATTGGCTTTTTCTGTTACCTTCTACTATTTTTCCTCATTGGAATTGTTTGCAATCATGTCTTTAAGATTTTCCTTTAAAAAAAAAAAAAACCTCCCACCATCCTGGACTCGTTTTCTTCCTTAGGGCTACTTTCCATGGGGTGTTACTTATAATTTTTCTGAATGTATTAACATCAGCTTTCACAAAATACAGATTACATGTAGGGCTACACTCCATTTTTGCTTCTTTTAAAATCAAAAAGTCAAGCATTCTGTGGTTACTTTTCCCCACAGTTCCCATAACTTCCACTTTATCCACTAAGTCATCCCTATTAGTATTAAGTTGAGAACAGCCAGTCCTCTAGTTCCTTCCTCCACTTTCTGCAAAAGAAAGTTAGTTATCTCTTACCCATGACAAGAATTTCTTGGAGTAGCCACTTTTGGCAGAATATGTCTTCCAACAGATAATCTGGATAATTGAAGTCCACCATTACTACCACATCACACTTCTTTGACATACTGACAGTTTGCTTTTCAAAAGTGTCATCCTCATTTTCTCCATAATTGGTTGATCGGTAGGAGACTTCAGATGCTCTTGATGGGTCTCCCAGGCTCATCTTCCTGTATTTCTGTGCAAGGATAAGTATTTTGAACATATAATGCAACTCCATCTTCTGCTCTTTTTGAACAAGTTACACCTTTTAATTGCTATATTCCAGTCACAGGAGTCGTACCACCAAACTTGAGTAATACCTACCCGTGACTGTGTCAGGAGGGGGGTGCAAGCCAAAGACCCCCTTTCCTGGCTTCTCCATGAAGAGTAACACAAGAAAGATGGTGCATTCACCAGGCCTTTATTCTTCTGTTACACTTCACCTCTTGCTTCCCGCAGCGTCTTGGCCCTTGCTTGCTCCGGCTCCCTTCCCTCCTATCATTATGGCAATGAACTGCGCAGTCCTGGCAGTAACGCTCCCTAGTCTCTGCTCGCAGTTTGCACCAGCCAACCTGCCAGCAATAGCCACGCTGGCTCTTCCCCATACACGTGCGTTTTCGTGTTCTTTCTGCTCTTCTGTCTCTTGCCGCCTCTCTCTTTCTCCGCCCCTCCTTCCTCTGCCTCCTCTTTATATCCCCTTCTCCCACAACATTCCAACCCAGCTGTTCCTGCCTCGGTCCGCAATCCTGTACAGCTGCGTGCTCACTCGCATCCCCTGGCCGTTGCCTTCTTGTGAGTTGCTCTCCCCACATAGATTCCCATCTTCGCCCTATTGTCTTTGGCCTTGCTCTGTGGAAGGCCCCAGGAAAAGGGGTGAGCCCCTCAGCCTCCTCACATGCCCCCCCTCCAAGAGGAGATCACCATCTTTGTGCAAGGGCCAGGGACCCTGGCGGGAAAAGAAATCCGCGTTAGCATGTTTGTGACCGTGCCTGTGTTTGACTGTAAAGGCATACGTCTGCAACACTAAATACCAACGGGTGAGGCGAGGGTTGTCATCCTTCATCCTATTTAGCCATTGTAATGGAGCATGGTCGGTGACCAACGTGAATGGGGCACCCCAGAGATAATGTCTCAGAGCCAGAACAGCCCATTTGATGGCTAGCACCTCCCTCTCTATTGTGGAATACCAGCGCTCTTGTGGTTCCAGCTTATGGCTCAAGTAGGGTACCAGATGTTCAGCCGCCCCTTCTCCCTGGGTCAGAACTGCTCCCAAGCCCACAGTTGAGGCGTTGGTTTGGAGGATAAAAGGCCGGGAGAAGTCTGGTGACTGTAAAACAGGCTGGCTGAGGAGACAGGTCCTCAAGTCTTCAAAAGCTTGTTCCATCTCCTCAGATCATACTAGGGTACGGCTTTGCCTTTTCTTAAGTGCCTCTGTCAAGGGGGCCACTTTGGAGGAGAAATGAGGGATGAATCGCTGATAGTAACTGGCCAGGCCCAAAAACTGTTGTACTTCCCTCTTTGTGCGAGGCCGTGGCCACTGGCTCAGCTTCTCCACTTTATCTGCCATAGGCCATATCTGCCCATGACCTACGATATACCCCAAGTACTGCACCTCCTGTCAAGCTATTCTACACCTGCCCGGATTAACCATCAACCCGGCCTGTCTTAAAGCTGCCAGAGATTGCCGGAGGTGGTCTAGATGTTCCCCTCAAGTACAACTGAATATGACAATGTCATCAATATAGGCCACGGCACAATGGGACAAATGTCCCAAGACCTTGTCCATAAGCTGCTGGAAAGTTGTGGCGGCCCCATGTAACCCAGAGGGCATATATATAAATTGAAATAGCCCTACAGCAGTGGCAAAGGCTGTCTTTTCTTTGGACTCTTCCGTCAATTTGATTTGCCAATACCCCTTAGTGAGATCTAGGGTCGAAAGGAAATGGGCCTGCCTCAGAGGATCCAGCAACCCATCTACGTGGGGCATGGGGTAAGCGTTGAACGTTGATACCTCAATGACCCTCCTGAAATCAACACAGAAATGGACACTCTGATCCTGCTTGGAGACCAAGACCGGCTGACTCCTCCAAGCGCTCACTGATTCCTCAATGACCCCCAGTTGGAGCATCCGTCTTTCTTCCTCTGTTATCACTTGCCTCAGTTGCAGTGGGTAGGGCCATGTTGGAACCCTGACAATGGCCCCAGGGATTGTTTGTATATGGTGGGCTACGACCATCGTGTGCCCGGGTTGATCAGAGAATACCTCTGCAAATTCTGCCTTCAAGGCCTGGACTTGTGCTACTTGAGTGGGTGTTAGTTGAGGATCAAGAGATAACTTCCCAGGGCCTAAGGCCTGAGCCTTGGGCCACTCAGTTGTGCAGTCTGCCTGATGACTGGTACTCTCCCTTTCTCTCCAAGCCTTGAGTAGATTTACATGGTAAATCTGGGTCGAGTGCCGCTTATTGGTGAAGCGTATCTCATAGTCCACCAGCCCCACCCTCCTAACAACCTCGTAAGGCCCCTGCCACCATGCAAACAACTTGCCCCCTCCCATGGGCAGGAGCAGGAGAACATGCTGGCCTGGTTGAAACGTCCGGGGTTGGACGTGCCGATCGTAATAGTACTGCTGCTCTCCTTGGGCCTGCCTTAAATTACTCTCGGCCTGCTGAGCTAGGTCAGTGAGGTGTTTTCTCATATCCAGCACATACTGGAGGGTGGAGGTGGGCTCTGGGTCTGATGTCTCCCATTGCTTCTTAACCAGGTCTAGAATTCCCCGGGGGTGTCGCCCATATAGTAACTCGAATGGTGAAAACCCTAAAGAGGTACCTCCCTTATTGCGAACATCAAGGGCCCCACAAAACATGCCATTGTCGAGGATAGGTTGACACAAACTTCCTAAGCATCTGCTTAAGGGTCTGCTTAAAGCGTTCCATTAGACCATTGGTCTGGGGGTGATAGACTGTGGTGTGTAAGGGCTTTATTCTCAACAGGTCCCACATCTGCCTCAGCACCTGGCTCATGAAATAAGTGGCCTGATCTGTCAAAATTTCCTTGGGGAAGCCCTCCCAGGCAAAGACCCCCAACAGCTCTTGGGCGATAACCCAAGCTGAAGTACTCCTTAGAGCAGGGGTGGGCAATTAATTTTCCTATGGGGCCACATGAGAAACTTAGTTGTTAAGGGCCGGACCAATACACTTACAGCTCTGCTCAATATATATCTCTATAAAAACAGTAAATGAAACATTACAATGATACAATGAAAATGTGGAGCACAGAACAACACTATTTAACGT